TTTCATATTTTATGTATTTAAATTCTAAAAAAATTCTTTACCAGGCCTTGCTTTTTGGAAGTCCAGATAGTCTCCCTTCGTTTCTTGCACGACAGACCATACCTGGGTTCAACATTGTGGTTGACCCATGTGCAGCCATCTTAGTTATTGTGGTCACTGGACTTTTGTGTCTAGGAATTAAGGAGGTATCTTTCTGCTATTCTCATTTTGTTGCAAAAAAAAAAAATAATATTTTTTGGCTTCCGAAATCTTTGTCTTTCTATTTTACCTTTACAAATTTCAAGATTACTGCTACAGAGTGCACTTGTTCAAGGAGTTGTTACCTCTGTCAATACATGTGCCTTAATCTTTATCATTGTGGTTGGTGGATACTTGGGTTTCAAGACTGGATGGTGTGGCTATGGACTTCCTACTGGGTAGTTGTATTTTTTGTCTTGCTTAGCACAATTGTATTTCGGTCTGTTGGGTTTTTTGCTTTCCTATTTGCTAATTGTTATTTTTCATGAATATGAAGTTGCTTATGGATTCCATTTCTTTTTAAAGATATTTTCCTTTTGGAGCTCAAGGGATGCTTGCTGGTGCTTCAACTGTTTTTTTCGCGTATACAGGATTTGATTCCGTCACTAGTACAGCAGAAGAGGTATGTGCTAGATAATCTCATTCAAATTCTATCTCTCTCTATATACACACATATATATTTATCTTATTCACTAAGATAGATTAATCCTCAAGATAATGTTTGTAATGGAAAAAACTTTACCAGATTGTTGAGATGAAGCCCAAAATTAGTTTTCCAGTTGTTAAGGTTCTTATTTCAACTTTTGTTCTATTATTCAACTGTTGAGGCGAAGCCCAAATTTAGTTTTTTTAGGTTCATTCGTTAGTTTTAGGATTCTATTTTTTTAGTTTCCTATTATTCGGTATTTCATTGGGATTATTTTGTGTTGAAGTTTTTGTTTTAAGGGAACTGCTGACCATTGTGTGCCTCATTCGCGTTATCCTTAAATATAAAATGATGAGTGGCAGCTTAACAAATGACGTTCTCTATTTTCAGGTGAAAAACCCTGAAAAAGATCTGCCTATGGGTATTGGGATTGCACTTTCTATATGCTGCACGCTGTACATGTTGGTTTCTACTGTTATAGTCGGCTTAGTTCCGTATTATTCAATGGATCCAGACACTCCCATCTCCTCTGCCTTTGCTAGCCATGGCATTAGATGGGCAGCGTAAGCAAATATTTGTATCTATGAATTTTTTTATGAGTTAATGTCCGAGTTCGTGCATTTTGTTTTTGTGGCTTTTTTTCTACATTGCTCAAATTTGCTTTCATACAGGTATGTGATAACTATTGGATCTTGTACTGCTCTTTGTTCATCGTTGATGGGGTCTCTCCTTCCCCAGGTAACTGAAATTAATTAAAACTCTATATTTTTCCTTTTGTTTCATTGGTACTAAATCTATCGGCTTTAATTGTTCTGCAATGTTTATATTTACCGTCAGCCGCCGTCAGAATTATGAAGAACAAATGAATTAGGGTGTATCATGATTTTTATATAAATGATCATACTTAACTGTGATCTTGCTATTGATGCGAGTTTATCTTAGATAGGATAAGAATGTTGGCACGAGGAAACTTTATTTTAGACAGGATAATAAATAAATCAGAGTTAAAGATTCGGGGGAAGAGTGCGGTCTCATGCTGGTGAGCTTAGGTGTCACTTAAGTGAGGTTTTATCGCAAAATCAATTGGTGATGAGAGTAGTCTACTGACCTGGTGAGACAACTCACAAGTGATATTCCAACATGCCTTCTCACTTGTGAGTCTTTCTTTAACTGTAGGACTCGGTTAACAGAGAGTCATTCATCACAAATTCTAGATCTGCTCTGGTAGCATGTTGGAATTGTGGATTATGGGGAAGGGATGCACTCCCATGGTGGTGAAACACACCATTAAAGGTGAAACTCCCAAAGGTGATTGGATGAGCCACCCAATGAACTTATAAACTAGGCCCATTTACCCCATAGAATCACATTATCCCAGACAACTGAAGTGATATTTGTTAACAATACAATATAGGATCAACCCATATATACTAAAGGCCCTAACACTATATATATATGGGCATCTTCACATGCGAAAGCATTCATTCATTCAAAACCCTAGGGTTTGTAACATGGCATAATAGCAAAACAAATAGGGTTAATTTTTTATTTTTTTTTCAACATTCGGATCTCACCTTCCACACCAATAGCTTCGCTGCCCAAGATCGACTGTTCGGTCATTTTTCATTGTCGGATTTCGCGCATGTGGGTCCCATGCGCCGTCAGGCAACATGCAGCCTTCCTCACGCGTTGGCGCGTGCAGGCACATGAATTGCTGGATGTCGTCATCTCAGAATCTTCTTGGCAGTATTGTTAGTTTTGTGTTTTGGGCAGTTTTGGTGTTCCATTTTGCATTTTTAGATCCGACATCATTTTGGGTTAGGGTTTCTTTCCCTCGTCTCTTGTTCTTTCATTATTTACCCGTCGTGTGGTCTTTAACGAGCATCTTTTGGGTGCGTTATCGCTATTCTCTTGATACGTTCTCGTACGTCTATCCCTAAGGCATAACTGTTGTCATACGCCTATTGCTAAGGCATAACTGTTGTCGTACATCGCTGAATTATGTCGCAACTCAATGTGATTGCCATCAATATCACTTTTGATGGTCAAAATTTTCAGGACTGGGCAAGAGTGGGCTTTTTATGTGGAACCGTATCGAGGGGGTTATTGTTTAGCTTTATATGCTTATGCTTTTGCAATTTTAATTCGATAATGTTCATACTTCATATATTATACTTTTATATGCTTATGTCCATATATCGAAATTATTTGTACTGGCTTGCCTCGTTAATAAGGTGAGCGCCTCGCCTCACACCTCACACCATGGCAAATAGGAGGCTCGTTGCCTCGGCTCGCCAAGCGCCTTTTTAGTTACTGACTGGCCGAGAATTATTTTATCAGCATTCGGAAAAGTTGTTGGAGTATCGTGCATGCCGTGCTGCTCAGGCTCGTAGTACGACTTCTTCTACAAAGGGGTCCGTATCTGCTGTTGCTGCATCTCCTGTACATGCTCTTTAGCCTTGGGTCCTCGATTCAGGGGCATCTTTTCATGTGACATCTGAATAGTTTGCTTGCAAGGCGGTCATTGATGGTACTTCTACCTAGACAAACCGAATAAAAGAAAAAAAAAACGTTTACAAACCCAATAAAGTCTGGAATAATAATTCGATAAGTGCAGTCACCCTTCAATAAGTCTTTGATCACATATGTATTCAAACTCCTCAAAGGTTAACGGTCTTTTCATTCTCATGCATTGACTCCTTTCTATGTGAGGTTGATTTCCATCCTAATGACTTCCTTGGAAGTGATCTACCTTCATTTAACGTAGGTTTCTTCAAGTAGAATTTGTGTATCTAAATTTAGATTTGTGTAGCCGATCCTATCTTTTGATGCCTCCGCCCTTTCGTATGGCTGACTTCTCGCGTGGGCTCTTCTCGGACCAGAATCTGACACTTTTTGAGTTTCCTGTTGTTAGTTTCTTTTTTCTTGTTTATCACTTGTTCTGATGTATTATAGATTCTGTACTTGTACAATGTGACTTTACAACAAAAAAAAAAAAAAGAGTAGAATTCATGTATGTGATTTGGATATCTTTAGGATTCTAATGTTAAAGGCAGTGTTCTAAAAGTCACTAGGCGCCCGCTAGACGCTCGACCAGTGCCTACAGCGCCTAGGCGGGGCTTAGGCGACGCCTATTCGGGGCCTAGAAAGCAATATTAAATACCTTATTTTTTATTTATTTTAACTACATACAAAATAAAATTATCTCAACTTATAATAAATCGACACACCTAAGTCCAAACAAAATAATATAATTAATATTTAAAAATTTTTAAAAAAAATGAAAAATTGCCGCTGAGCCCGCCTAGGAGCGCCTTAGTCCGCCTATGCCCGCCTAGGCGCTGCCTAACCGCCTGGCCGTCTAGGAGCGCCTAGGGCCGCCTAGGCCCGCCTAGCCGCCTGACTGATTTTTTCTGTCGATTTGTGCAAATTGGAGGCGTCCGGACACCGCCTAGCGCCTAAGCGCGGCCTAGGCGGCCGCCTAGGCTGATTTTTAGAACAGTGGTTAAAGGTATCGGAACACAACTTTCCTAAAATAGCCGAGCTTTTAAATTTAAGATGATCTTGCGGTGAATCTTTCTAATTTCTCCTTAGATCTTCTTCAAAACGTCCAGGATTTTTCATTTGTGGATAACTCATCATTTCATAGTCTTTGACAATTATTCCTTGTTCCAGAAGAGAGAGAAATCTAATTATGCAATAGAATCAAACTCACTAATGCAAGTGACCTGTTTGGTGATTAAATATATGTAAGATATATATTATGTAATCCTTCTAAAAAGGATTAGGAATCTATAATACATAGTACCATAAATCCATATAATATTAATTATAAATACAGGAAAGTTAATAATTAACAAGTAAATAAATAGAAAATATTCCTTTTATTTATTTTGCTTACCTAACAAGAAAATCTTGTTGAAAACACTTAGGTTTGTCAGACGATGCCAAACCAATATTCTTAAATAATAGAAAATTGAAAACTTTGATGTTTAGAATGATTTACGTACATATTTTGTTGAACTTCGAGCATTTGGTAGAAGTATTAGGGATTGCATAAACTCGCATAAATAATCATCTTGGTTTGACCAATCCCTTCTGTGTGGATTCTTGAAGTATGATTCTAATATGCTCGAGATCTTTATTATTTTAGGAAAACTTTCTCTTGCTCCATAATTTTATTCACATTTCTCTTCTAGCAGAATTTACTAGTTTGTTTGAAGATCATTCCAATTCTTGAAACTTGAAAATATTGGCTTCCTAATGCTAATGAGTGCATAGGGAAATTACGAAATGAGTAAATTATCAAATAAAACAAATACAGACGAGTAAGTTATAACAAGGGTTGTTTATATCCCTTTTATATAAATTTTTATAAAACGTGCTGAGCCCATTTAGCCTAAATGGACTCGCACGCATCGAAATCTTACTTGGCAAAATTAGATGTTTCGTCTTTTGGCTCGGATAAAAACTAATATAATTACATTCCAAAATAAATAGTTTCGGACTTACTGTATTTAAATTCCCTAATTGTTTAAACCGAATAATTAATACCATAGTTAATTATATTTAATCAATGCATTCCATAAAACACCTCATATAATTCCAAGCATTCCATAACATTCCATAAAAGGATAAAACTCCTCATCCATTTATCAACATAAATGCCGATTATATGATATGCAAGCCAAAATAATTTGCATATTTCATACTTTTTATAGTTTTATATTCATTTTGTTTGACTTTTAATAAATATAAATGTATAAATAAAAACAGAGATTCTTTGCATATTTCACACTTCTATAGTTTTATATTCATTTTGTTTGACTTTTTATAAATATAAATGTATAAATAAAAACAAGATCCTTTGCATATTTCATACTTTTCTTATTTAATTCATATATATTGCTTATTATAAATATGTGTTCTTTTTATTTTTAAAACTTTATGACTTTTTTATTTATTTTTTTTTATATATGATATATCAAAATAATCATATTTTTAACGATCTTCGATATGACATTTATATTGCATATATAAAAAAAATCATCTATCTTCATAAGTAAAACTAATTCCATTATTAATAAATTTAAAAAACATCAAATATCAATAAATTATTTCATAAAAGATGTAGTTCATTATTACACCATAAAATAACCATTTTAATGTATTTTCTCCAGAGATTTTGTATAAGATATAGAAATTAAATATTACATAAATAAATTTTAAGAAATATTATAAAGTATTATTTCTCAGTTTAAAATAGATTATATAAAAATCTTAATGTTATTATGTTCTTTAAAATCATAAATATAAAGAAATATCCTACTTATATAATAAAATAATTTACACTTCAAAAAGTTAGAAAATAATTAATTTCTTCTTAAATTAATATTCCAAATTCTTAAATATATGAATTTAAAATACTTAAAAAATTAATAAACGAGAGACACCGATTCTGTAAATATAAAATATAACAGAAATACAATAAAACTTGTTTTATTAAGAAAATTCGAATCAAATATATGGAGTTGTAGATAATATCAATTTTATACATACATAATCTTAAAAATATAATTAAAAATATTTTTTTTGACAAATTTTAGTGTAAAAATGCGGGCACTACTCACTACAAAAAAAACTATTACATTCCAACGGAAATTTTCCGTTGGAATTCTTTATATTTTCCGTTGGAATAGCTATTCCAACGGATATTCCTACGTAAAAAAATTCGTGGGAAAAACAGCCGTTGGAATAGCTAAAATCCAATGGGAAATCCTATAGAAATAAATTCCTACAACTATTCAAACGGCAAAAATCTGTTGGAATTCTTCAACCATCCAACACTTATTCCAACATAAAATTAAGTTTGTTGGAATATTCATTGGAATTTCCAACGGAAATTTTTGCCGTTGGAATTTTTCGTTGGAATTGAAGTGTTTTNNGTAGTGACTTGAATTAGTTTTCACTTAGTTAGTTAGTTATTATTGTTGTATAATCATTATACATAATTTTAAAATAAAAATATAAATTATTTTAATTTTCTTATGGTACAAATATTAATATATTTAAGTACCCTTGTAGTACACGGGTATCGTACTAGTAATTGTTTAATGTCAAAAATCAAGTGATTTTCCAAATACTTTGAAAGGAGGGGTAGATTAGGAAAACTAATCATTCTTTCTGATGTGTATCTGTCGTTAGAGAACTAATTAAGTTTTTTGTGTGTGCACCATGTGAATCAATGTCGCGAAGAGCATCGGCCTAATGAAAGTAGGATAAGTTTTTGGATGTGTAGGTTCATTTCCAAATAAATTTTCACTTACATTTATTTAATTATTTATGTTCTGTATAACAGTCTCGAATACTAATGGCAATGGCTAGAGACGGCTTGCTGCCATCATTATTTTCAGATGTCAATAAAAGCACTCAAGTTCCAGTAAAAAGCACGATTGTGACGGGACTGGTATCCACAGTATTAGCATTCTTCATGGACGTGGAACAATTGTCAGGAATGGTATGCTTCTCTTTCACCTATTGTAAACTTTCATCTTATTATTTTCTTTTCAGTAATGCTAAATTTTGGGTACATATATGTGGAGAAGTGCATTTACCTTGTACTGTTGAGTGTTGACAGTGTTGTAAATGACATTCTTTCCGTGAAAATACTTAAACATTCTCAAGTTTTAGCTTTGAATAAAAACTGGTGGCTTATATTCTCTAGAAATTTCTTCTGTAAGTCCTTGATATAATTGCAGGTTAGTTTGGGGACACTTGTTGCATACACAATGGTGGCGATATCCGTGTTGATACTGAGATATGTTCCACCGAATAAAGTTCCGGTTCCATCGTCTTTTCAGGAAGCAATAGACTCAGTTTCCTTGAGGCATGCTATCAGCTATAGCTGTGAAGATGTTTGTAACGAGAATACAACAGTCTATGCTATAACCACAGTGAAAAGTCCACTTTTGTTCAGGAGAGAAACAACCGTGAAATATCGTTTGATAAATGGCGCGTACGATTGTAAGTTTTGTCTGATTGAGATAACAATTAATGTGTGATGGTTTATGTTAAAATCCAATGTTTACCAACAATAAGTGACAATAATATGTGTCATGAGTAACAAAACTGAGGGGGGCAAATAAAGAAATAATTGCAAATATTAACCTAGAAGGTAATCTGATTTGAAAACGCCCTATACCTTCAAGAACTACAGATAACCATGTGAGTTATGTTTGATTACCATGTGTAGCCTTGACGAGGGGTAGAAATGAGTCTATTTGCAAGGTAAATATAAACTTCAGTGGGTCAACATTAATCTGTCCAAAAGTAAGTGTTTCATTCATTCATTCGTTCGTTCCTTCGTTTGTTCCAACCATCCATCCATCATTCGTTCATTTGTTCATATTCGTTCGTTCATCCATTCATATTCGTCCGTTCGTTTGTTCACACGCACACACACACACACACACACACACCAAATAAAAGAAGGAAGAAAGAAAACGACTATTTAAAAAGTAGCGTTGTGATAATCATGCGTGCGTGCCTATGTAAACATGTCAGTATTGATCATTTGTTCATTCATTCATATTTTATTGTGTAAGTTAGACTATCACCAAATAAAAGTTTTTTGTTGCACATAATCAAACCCATACACACACACCGAAAAAAAAAAAGAATGAAGAAAGAAAGGACAATTTAAGAAGTAATAATGTTTTTAGTAAACATGTGTGTGTGCCTATGTGATCATTTCATTATTGATATTATGATTGCTAACGGTCATGTTATATAAGTTTCATTGTCAATGTCCATTTGCACGTTAATTTCGTGAGCAAGACCAAGAAACATATGAAAGTAAAAAAGTCTATTCAGCTAATGTCATGTCCAAATAAGTTAACTCCATTGTTACTAATCTAGGTTCAAATCTTATTTATGCATTGCAGTTTTCGTAAACAAAAAGAATAGGCGGAAAATTGCTGGCTGGGCAATAATGGTTACTTGTGTTGGGGTGATTGTCCTAACGTCTGCTACTTCAAGTTCGACCCTCTGTAGGTCTGTGGTTTTTACATGGATCATTTCTTTGTCAAAGAATTGAATATATTAAAAAACTCCCTTAAGATTCAGCTTACATATAAAGAAGACCCAGTTATGTTTTATAAATACACCAGTCCTTGAAATTTATGTTATTTGTGTGGAAAACAAATCTCAACGAAGTGTTTATAACCAATTTCTTACAAGAAGTATCTTGCACCAGCACTCTTCGGTACACACTTTGTGGATTTGGCATTGCTCTCCTTTTTTGTGGTTTGATATTGCTGACTTGTATAGACCAAGACGATGCACGCCATGATTTCGGCCATGGAGGAGGTAACGCCAATGGGCCAAAAATGAGTTACATTAGTTTATTGGAAAGAAAACCAGGGAATATATGTTGGTGTCTTTACATGAGCTATTTTTTCTTGTCCAGGGTTCATTTGCCCGTTTGTTCCTTTGCTACCCGTTGCTTGTATCCTAATCAATGTCTACTTGTTAGTTAATCTCAGGTCAGTTCATCCAGTCTATTCTAAAGCTGTTTGGTTGATGATCAAACACATTAATAGTTGTAACACTTCATAATCAAGCACACTACTTGTGTCTATAAAGAACATAATATCACATTTCGATTGTATTTACACTTGATAAATAGATGCTCTGTAGTTCTTCTAATAACCCAGTTAGCTACTAAAAAATTGTGAATATATGGGGCCTTGTATTTGTATTTTGCACAGTGCATCTTCTGTGGGGGTGTATTTGTGATACTAGCACAATCCTCGAGAGGGTATCGTGTTTCTGAAAACTAACTGAAAGTTATTTTTATTATTATCTTTTTGCTTATCTATGCATACAGCGGTGGCACTTGGGCACGAGTCACGATATGGTGGGCGCTAGCACTGGTTGTGTACTTTCTGTATGGCCGCAAGCACAGCGCGTTGAGGCATGCTGTTTACGTGCCCTCTTCTCATGTCGATGAGATTTACCAAACCTCCACAAACTCCATCTCCGGATCTGCTGCTTCCACTGAAGGTGAAAAATTATAATTTATTTCTCTTACAGAAACCTCAGGTGTGGCTTGAGTTTCTCTTCATGATGGCTTTATGCCTACGCCTGGAGACACGGGTGTTATCGTCAAACCTTTGCGATGTTGAAAACTCCAGTTTTAACCTAAGGCTCTTCTGTTTTTATAGCCCTTTTGCAATGAAGAACATATGCTTGTTGTATAAAGCTCAAAGCTGAGTTATAGGTGGGAGTACAAAAATAAATGGTCGAAATGTAGCTGTGCTTATGTATTGTACTTTACACTTACGACTTCCAAGAACTATGTAAATTTGCCAGACATTTGTATGAAGTTGTAAATCTTGTCTGAAATTGTTAAGTCCTTACATAGATGCAGTGATCCCAATAAGAACTATAGCTAATTTACGAACATTGTGTCGAAATTAGGAAAAATTACACTTTGTCTACTCAATTATCCGCCTTTTCACACTTTTTTGCCCACTAAACTTTTTTTTTTGGCACTTAACCGGTATGAACTTTGCTCTTTTGTGCACTTACCCACTTCCGGCCATCGGAGACTCTTTAAAAGGGTATAATAGTCTTCTTACATGAAATACAAGGGGCAAAATTGTCATCCCATACCAAAAATCGTTCTTTAAATCTCCATCCCTAATTCCTCTTTTTCCTTTCCAAATCAGTTGCAGAAGAGGTAAGAGAGAGAGAGAGAGAGAGTGACCACGCAATGTCGAACATGGCGACCTCCGAGGTGACCGGCAATGGCGATTTCTGCAGTTGTCAGAAAAGGGCCGTAATGAAGACCTCATGGACAGACCATAATCCGGGAAGAAGATATGCTGCATGTGAAAAAACTCGGGTAATTTTAGGCTTTATGTTCGAAGATTTTTTTCTAATTTGCAATGTGTGTTGTTCTATTGTAATTATTCAGACCATTAGAAGTTGCAATTACTTCTGTTGATGATTAAATTTGTTAATTTGCAACCTTAAATTTTTCCCCTAAATTGCAACTCTACTTTTTAATTTGTAACCCTAATTGAACTAATCTGCAACCTTAATTGAACTTTGCATTGTCTAACTGATTGATAATCAGATAATTGGAGGAGGCAACCCTAATTTGCAGCTCTAAAATTTTCAGCTAATCTGCAACCCTAAAATTTTTCCCTAATTTTTCAATTGGTAACCCTAATCTTTTCCCTTAATTAATCTGCAACCCCTAATTGATTGATTGTGTTCAATTGATTGATAATTATTCAGGGCAATGGAGGATGCAATTATTTCTCTTGGATTGACCCTCCAATGTGCCCGAGATCTAGACAAATAATTCCAACGCTTCTGAAACGTGTTAATAGGCTTGAAGATGAGTTGGCTACAAGGAAGTCTAGGGAGAAGTGGCTTTGGGGAATGATGGTTCTTTCTTGGTTGATCATGTTCTTTGTGAAATGGTGATTTATGTTGGTGGTTTATGTTTCAGTTTGTTAGGATGTGGCTAAGTCCCATTTTGAATTGCTGGTTGAAACTTAGTCATTTGTTATGTTTTGTAAGACTTCACTCTATGTCTCTATTATATGTAACATTGGCCATTTGTGCTTTGATGAATGAATGAAAAAATCTTTTGGTTTATGCTTATGTGTGTGTGGGGGAAATGGACTTACATAACTATTGTATTAGAACAACCAAATGGATACAAAAATAACAAATGTATTCACCTGTACATATTGAAATGGAATTCAACATATTCCAAACAAAGGGTATAACAAAAAGGCATATCATTTCCCATTCCAAACATATAGAAATGAAATTGTTCAATCCCAATCTGTTCAAATCAAAATGACCATCACAGAATATTCTCAAATAAACATACCAACACAAAATCTGAAATTGTTCCAATCCCAATATGTTCAAATCAAAATGACCAACCAAACTCCAAACAAACTTTCAGAATGTCAATACATGGCATTACAAACTTTTCAGACCAACCAAACTCCAAACAACAAATATTCTAGACTTGAGAGTATGCAACCCTTTTTCTTGTAGAAAATCTCACACCATCAAGCATGCTGCTGCTTCCTGGTGGCCTAACAGGTTGTGTAAGAGCTTGTGGCTTTTCACCAACAACACCTTGTAGCCTCAAGCTCCTCTTCACTGGCAACTTAGCTTTTACACCCTCATTTTCAGCATTGACCATTTATTTTTCTTTTCCCTTCACTGAATTTTGTGAAGATTCTCCAATTTTGTTGTCTTTCCCCTGCACAAAACCAAATATAAAAAGGAAAAAAGGAATAAAAAGCCACAGTTGGTGCTTGTGAGGATCATTTGTGAATAAAAATGCCATACCTTTGCTGGCTCTTGTGAGGATCCTCTAGCTTTGATGCTTTTATCCTGCACAAACACAAAACCAAACCAAAAATAATGAGAAGTCATGGTTATGATTTAACCTACTTCAGTTTAACCAAAAAGAATTAAAAGGAAAATTTATACCTTTTGTGGCTTTTTCCCAGAGACTCCAACTCTTTGGGCTTTCTCCTACACCAAAAAAAAAAAAAAATTCAAAATTTGTATAGTTACTTAATGATAAAGGCTTATAACAAGAACATATTGTATTAGAACAAAAATCAATTTTACCTTCAGTCTAGGACTCTTTCTTATGCTCTGCAAATCATTCCCTTCTAAGTTGGATTTGCTAGGACTCTTTCTCTTTCTCTGCAAATAAACATGAGATTAGTAAAGATACTACATGGTTGAATAAATGACAACATTAATTTTCATCTAAGTACCTTATTTGCAGTTGATTCTGTTTGAACTGGAGCAGGCACATCTGTTTGAACTAGAGCAGGCACATCTGTTTGAACTAGAGCAGACACATCATTCCTCTTATTTTTGTGGCAACCCCTTGAATTGTGGTTTGGTTGTTTGCAGATTGAACATCTCATTGTCACACCTTTCTTGGTCAATCTCACTTGATTAGGTGCTGCATCATTTTCTTTAGATTTCTCACTGGCATGCTTTCCATTGACCTCATCTGCTCCCATCTTCCTCTGATACTTCTTGGGTCTTCCTGACATTTTTTCAATACTAGGTGGTAGCAATGGTGGAATATCCACTTCTGGCCATTCATCTTGTCCATTTAGTGCTCCCATCAAATGACTTAAGTATGTCTCCTTTTTGTAACAGTCATCAACAAAATCCTTAGGATTTTTTCCTAAATAAAAGATTCCTGATATTGCATGGGGGCATGGAATTCCTGATAACTGCCATTTCCTACAAGTGCAAGATTTCTCACCAACATGAACCATAAACCTACTCCCAGTCATGGTCTCTATTTCAAATTGATCCATACCATTCCAATGTGCAATGAACTCCATACTGGTTTTCTTCATTTCATCAAGCAACTTCACTATCCTAGGACAAAGTTCTCCATGATATTTAGTCATCTTGTCTCTTTTCAGATGGATAGTCTTCATTAGGTAAGTCCTAATCATTTCTAACATGCTTATAATGGACTCACCTCTTGCCTTCACAATCACAGAATTGAAAGTCTCTGAAAGATTGTTCAAAAGTGCATCACACTTTGAATGTGTGCTAAAATGAGACCTAGACCAATGTGCAGGAGGTCTTGCATTCAACCACCGGTATGCATGTTCATCTCTCTCTTTGATATCAGTCATCACCCTCTGAAAATCCTGCACTCTAGATGCCCTAGCAGCTTTCCACAACAACTTCTTTAAGGCAAGCCTTTATGTTGGGCTTTGAAATTCTGGTACAGGTGTTGAATACAAAATCTGTGTTCACTACCAGGCAATAGGGTTTCAACATCTTCAATCAAACCCTTTTGCTTGTCAGACATCAATGTCCAATGATAAGGGTTTCTGATATTTAAGTCTTCCATCAGAAAATGTAAAAACCAACTCCATGACTTCTTCTTTTCTTTTTCTACCACAACATAAGCAAATGGGAACATCCCATTGTTTAGATCTATGCCAACTGCAGTTAGAAGGACCCCACCCATTAAAGTTCTCAAATGACAACCATCAAGAAATATAACAGGCCTACATCCATCCAATAAACCATCTCTAAGTGCACCCCAACAAATGTACATTCTTTTAAAAAGTGTTTTATCACCTACCCTTCTACACTTTATCTTCACTGTGGTATTAGGATTTGACAACCTAATTTCACTGGCATAAGACCATAACAATGCATATTGTTCAGGATTAGCCCCAGATCCACTAGCCAACACTTTTTTTTAGCTCTAAAGAGTTGACTTTTATTGAAAGGAAGCTTGTGTTCCCCTTGCACTATCTTCCTCATGGATTCCACAGGCCATTGGGATCAGTCCATATTTTCTCTCTATATGTATCAGCTAGCCACCTAGAGTTTGCATGAGAAACCTTCTGTTTTCTAGGACATTTATGCTTGGGCTCATACTTTCTCAACTGAACACTATCCTCATCAGGCAACTTAGCAGCATACATAATCCAAAGACAAGTTGTGTGCTTACATTTAACTTGTACCTTGGTTCTCTCATTAATGCTAAAAACCACATCCTTCCCATTCTTAATTGTATGCTGTCTAACTGCTTTCCTAAACAAAGACATATCTGTAAAAAACATGCCTAACTCAAAAATAAGGTTTGAAATGTCTGATTTCTCATTGAAAACATTATGACCCTTATGCTTATCCTTTGTTCTGCTGACTATGGACTCAACATGGGGTCTGCACACACCCTCAGACCTACTTGAACTTAGGCCCCCAAACTCAGCATCACTATCAATATTTTCATCAAACATAATATCATCATCATCAGCAGAAACATCACAATCACTATAACATCAGAGTGACTAAAATCTGAACCCCAAGACTGAACATCATCACTATCATTGCTCATACATTCATCAACCAAATCATTAACAATATCATTCTCGGGATCCCTAAGGTCATTTGTTGCCATGCCTTCATCATCAAAATCACCAATACAATTCAAAGGTTCATTAATATGAGGAAAAGAAGCGGTTTCATGATTTTTCTTTTTAGTGTCATGCTCCACATATAAACCCACTAGCCTACTATCATTCACCATTTGCCCCATTCTGAGTACATCACTATCATCATTCAAGATAAGCAAATTATTGCAGTCATTCACATCTTCTTGTGTGCAGTGAAGTTGTTTCACTTCATTAACACCTAACTCTTCTAACATATTCATAATCTCAATTAAAGAAATTTCATCAGGATGACAATAGTCAATATAAGCAACTTCATCTGCCAAATAGTACTTATTGCCCAAATTCAAAAAATCCTCAGAATGATAAACTCTGATTGTGAACATCTCAGATTGGGGACCTGAACATATAACAAAGTAAAAAAACAAAGGAATGAGATTTCGACATGAACAACTCTTCTGTAATACAAAAAAAATCGCATTTTTCTACCCACTGAACATATAACAAAGTACTAAACACAAATTACGGACTAATGAACAACGAATTAGATCACGAACACCAATGTCGTCCCAAAAATAAATGAAAAAAGAAGAACAAATTACGAACGCACCGTAATCTGGGCAACAACTTCCAGGCGGTATATCTTCATCATCGGAGGCACGTACTTTCCATGACATTGTTCAATTACTATATGATGTGCTTGAAAGGTTTTCGAGAGAATGAACTTTCTTTGGAGATTAGGGTTTGGAATTGAGAGAATTTTGAAATTGGGGACCGATCGATTTGGGGCTGGGACAGATTTTAGGTTTTAATTAGGAAAAGAACTTGAAATGACTGTTATGCCCTCGTTAGCCATGTCACCATTGCCGCGTGTCGAACTGATATGAATTCCGATGGCCGGAAGTGGGTAAGTGCACAAAAGAGCAAAGTTTATACCGGTTAAGTGCCAAAAAAAGAAAAGTTTAGTGGGCAAAGTGTAAAAAGGCGGATAGTTGAGTAGGCAAAGTGTAATTTTTCCTCGAAATTATAGTATTAGGTATATTTGAAAAAAAATACATGCCACAATAAATGACACACATTTGCCGTGTTATTACCAAACCGAATTTTGCTATGCACTCTACTTACAAAATAATTTGTGTTTTAAAATTAGGTGTATTAAATTGCAATTTTTGAAGACTTTTAAAAATTTTAGTGTATTCAATTGAATTTTTTTGGAATTTTTAAAAAGTTTACCGATATTCAATTGAGACTATTAAAGACCTTTTTATAAATTTCTAAAAGTTTCAATGTATTCAATTGAAACTTTATAAGAATCTCTATAACTCACAGTGTATTCAAAGTTGAAAGACTTGTGAAACTTTTTTATTAAAAATTGCAAGGACAAAGTCTTAGTATATAGATATCTCATTAAATTGGTCAAATTTTGTTGGACTTGTGTGTCTTTTCAACATTTTCTTATAAAAATTTTGAATAGACAGGAATAAAAGGTGCCTAAACCCCAAAAATCACACATTAGCCCTAACCCCCAAAATCATTGTTGGAAATTTCGTCATCTAGCCACAACAAGTTTCCGTCGCCTTCCCCAGCGGGGCTCGGCGAGCGCACGGTGGTGACTCTACTGTGCCACGCGACCAGCTTTCGAGAGTGGCGCCACAAGGAGAAGGTCTTCTTCGCCGGGAAGATGTTGCGCTTGAATCGCAGTGTGTTTGGTGCTGGGAATAAGTGTCGGGCGGTCAATTCTCCAGAATCTTTGCTGTGGCGGTCCCACGACGTCCTCTTGGTGTGGGCTGCGACCCCAATTTTCCCGACCTAGAGATTGGAAAATATAAACTAAAATATGAACAGAAAAAATACATTGGTCTGTGTAGACATGGCCAAGGGCTGACCCGACCAGAAACCGGACTCGGACCGGCCCTGAACCGGCCTCCTAAGATCCGGTTCGTTGAATTGGACTTGTAGGGTTGCAGTTCGATTTTGATTTGTAATTTATTTTTTTGGTGCTCTCGGTCCGGATCGGGCCGGGGTTTGGAAGACGGGCCATAATGCTTTTTCTTTTTATGGGTCATATTGGCCCGAAACCACTCGAAACCCGCTGGGTCGGTGAATCGGCTGTTCAGGGCCGGTTCATATATAAATAGGCGGGCTGGTCACGGGCCATAAAATGAGGCCTGCCGGCCCGGCAGTTGACCACGTCTAGGCTGTGTTAGATACAGCCGGAAATTTGCAGTATATAGATAGAGAGAAGAGAACCAAGCAACTAATATTGGGGATGCTTGTTTATAAATTTGATCCAAAAAATCCAATCATTTTTAACTCAACCACTTTTTTTTACTCAACTTTAACTCAACCCATTATCATCAATATAATTAAATAATATCAATCAATCAACCCACTATCATCAATATTATCAATATAATTAAATAATATCAATCAATCATTCTTACACACAACATCAACCTTAATTTACTATTCATCTGCTCACATAATTTTAACTAACCATCACATCACATCTTCTCTCTCATACTTTTACATCAATTTAATTTTAATCATTTTATTTTAAAAAATATTTTAATCTACCCACTAACAATTAACCATACTAACTTTTTCAAATTTAACCAATCCAAACCAAATTCCCAATCAAAACCAAAAAAATTTATAAATAAGCATACTCTAAAATCCTTGCGAACTCACCGTAGCTACTCAATTAAAACCACATCTTCTGAGGCAGTCGCCGCCGCAATGGGCAGCGCCACCAGGTTCACGGCCCTCCTCACCGTCCCCATGCCACCTATCCGCCCGTCCCTCATCATCTTCTGCCGCCGTCTCTCTGCACTCTCCTTCGCTCCGCGCCTTCCCCCCACACTCTCCTCTTCATCCCCGTCAAAAACCCAAATTACTCATCTCGTCAACTCTTTGCACTCTCAATCGAGCAGCACTTCTGCGTATACGGTCCACTCCACCGCCGACCAGAACCACCCATGGCCTGAGTGGACTAATTTTCTTAACATCTTATCGAGTGGGCAGAGGATTGAGGATAAAGGGATTCCGCCTGAGGATGCATTCGTCGTGTACGAGGAGTTGAGCGATGATTTTGTACGGTCCGCCGCCACTTGCATAGCCTTTGCTCATGCCAGACCTAATCTTCTCGGGTTCGCAATTTTAACTCTTTATTTCTTTGCCTTTTGATGCGTGAATTGAATGAGAGGTCATGTTGACATACTTTCATAGTGAAATGTGACCTGCCAGCAGCATATTTGGTGACGATTTCTTAATAGTGTTTACTCACTGTTGAGTTGGATTTGATATTTTATCAGATTGCTTTCAAGGAGGGATATCGAAGCTGTTGTATCCAATGGAACTCCATTTTTGTTCAAAAGTGCTCTTGACTCAGCCAGGAGGATGAGGGCTTTCTTAGGAACTGGTGAAACCAATGTACGCGTCTCATTTTCTCTCATAATACTTTTTTATGAATGTATGCGTCAAATTACAATTGAGATGCAGTGTTTTTTAGCCTGATGCTGGAAAGGAGTAAACGTCAATATGTTTTGGTTCGAGAGCTTCGAAAATAACTATGACATTGCAAAAGGAAGAAAAAGAATTATAGGGCAAACAAGAAACTGTCTTGGTTGTGGAGCTGTGATTTACATTGCAAAGCCACCAAAGATGTTGGCAAAAATAGAAACTAAAAGCATGTGACCTGTATATGAGAGCATCTAACTGAGACCACTCTGTTTCTACATAATAGATGTCGCAAATATAAAAGTAGTGAATTCCATGTTGCTATCGATAGAAGACATTGCTATTTTGCAAAGCAAAAAGTTTGCCAAAGTTGAGATAGGATATGATTATTTTTTCCGAAAGTTACCTTACCTAACTTTGATCCTTGTGGTTGAGATAGGATATATATTCTAACCCATTTTTTCTCCGATAAATTTCTTTTTTGAATTTAGGTGTCAGAACTTGATAAAGCAAATACAATAGATCTTATGAAATATATACTGAGCTATGCAAGCAATCCAACTGTTTCTTCCGAAAGAAAAGGACTTTATAGCAAGGAACTCGTTTACTCATCTGTTCGAAAGCTGTTACATGAACTGGGTACTGTGTGCAGTGGAGTTCCAACTGGATATACACCTGTCTCAAGACAAACTCAAAAGCCTTATGGACAAAATATTGAAATGAAGAGAGGCGACTGGATTTGCCCAAAGTATGTGTATCCTCTATATTCTCATTTTATTTTGCTTCCCTGCCAGCTGTATCTAATTATGAATGTTTTCTAAGGGAAAAGAACATTTTGTTTTTGGTTTTCAATTTTTTTTT